AGAGAAGAGAGAGGAAGAGGTGAGGAAGATAGAAGGGAGATTCGCGATGTCGGTTGAGGGACGGAGGTGGTGAGAGGAAGAGACGGAGGAGGAGAAGAGGAAGAGGAAGAGGAAGACGGTGGAATTGTTTGGTCGTCGCCGTTTTTGGCCAAAATTTCATGCTTTACACGAGGATTATGTAAGCGCAGGGCCAGAGGTTCCACGGCCAGAAGGGCGCTCGCTCGCTGCAGCGATCTACAGAGGACTTAAGAGACGGGCTGATATTGGATTAAGCGGCTTAAAAATAGTTATATAGCAGGGCCAGGCAGCTGTGTTGTTCCCTGGCAGACAGACCAGCAGTGTTCTTTACACACTCGTGTTGTGCCTCAGGCTTCAGGGTGAGTAGAGGGCCCTAAGGCGTCATGAATACTTCAGATGCAGTACCACCATGCAGCAAAAGTCTTATCCCAGGTGCCAATCCCAGCAGTAGAAAAAAGCCTTATAAGGCCTGTATTCTCCCCCTCACCCAGAAGCGAGCCTTGTCGACCATCAACCAAAAAGGGGAGGGGCTTCTTCACAGAATAGTATCCATCGCCATCTCTAGGACTCTCATTGAGAATGCTTGAATCAGCTATCCCTCTGCACCTTACCCAGGAGCGGACTCAGCCTGCAAAGACGCCGGATAACTATGAGCCGCCTACCATAGCATACACATCACGATTCACGGAGAATGTCAAAGACATCGTGATGGCCATTATAGGCGCACAATATGCGTCTGCAGCAGGAAACGATGGCGCTGCCATCTCCAAGATACTGGAATTTGTGAAAAGCCCGACCGATACAGAGGTACGGCCATCATTCTGGGAGTTAGCATCGGTGACTGATGCAAACGGCTCGTACAATATTGCTATCCTTGCATATTGGCCGAGCCAGGAAACGTATGAAAGTTGGAACAAGGTTAGCAACTTCAGAAGCTGGTGGGAGGGTCTAGACACGGAAAACCAGCAACACGGCTGGTTTTTGGAAGTCTTCTCTCCCACCACCGATGGATTCGAGACCGTAGCCTCTGACGAGAAGGTCCTCGAAGGGGCTGCGTGTATGCGAGAAAAAGCGAGTGGACCAATTTTAGAACACGTATATTGGGGAAGCATGAGAGACCGGATGCCCATCTGCCAAACAGATGCCGTTCCCGGAGACACCACCAGCTCAGCTGCTCAACAGATTAGCAGTACGCTTCGACGTCGAGTTCAGGTGCCTGGACGACAAAACCTGGTCGTCATTCGATCTGGCCAGGATTGGTCCAATACCCCACCCGAGGAGCACAAGTTGTACATCGATACGATGCAACCACCCTTGATCGAGGGTATGACTTTCCTCCGCGACCAGGGCAGAGAAATCGGATGCCATAGCTGTCGACTCATGGACATCGTGGACAATGACACCTTTGAGGTCGCTAAGGATCGCACCTTTGGACTAGCCTATTGGGATAGTCTCGGCTCGTTGGAGAAATGGAGTAGAGAGCACCCTACTCATCTCAACATATTTGGGACGTTCCTGAAATACGCCAAGAGGCTGGATAACAACGTTTCCCTCCGTTTGTTCCACGAAGTCCTTGTCCTGAAGCCGGAGCAGCAGTTCTTTGAGTATGTGGGATGTCATGAGAAGACCGGAATGCTCGCTTCTCTCATCTCTTGAATCACGACTTGAATGTTAGTGAGATACGGCCTCATCCTGGTGGTCACCGTTGTAAGTTCACGCTTTCGGCTTCAGGCAGGGGATCGGCCATCTATGGACCAAGTAAAGTATCCAGGCCATCCCCAAGGAGTGCAAGGGGTTGTTATTGCTTGTTGATTCCTTCTCGCTGTTTCTGCTGTTTTCTGATGTTTATCATTTCGAGAACGCGGAATGGGCGAAATGCTGCTTAGTCATCATCCGCTAAATTATTTCGGGCCTAGTTCAATATAAGCTTCGGTTTTCCAGTCTAGCTGCTTTAGGACTACAGAATGATACTTCCTTCGCTGCTCTTGCTCACTGAAGAATTCGATATCAAGCTGTTCTAGCAAGTATAACATATTGTTTTTTAAATGAGATGCTTGAGATGACTATATCTTATCTGAGTAGTAGCAAAACAACGCGGATGCATCATTATTCATCAGCCTTGAAAATGACCTTCTGGACCTTCATTTTATCAAAAATATCATATCCCTCAACCGCTTGAGTTAGGGGCATAATCTTATCCGCCATGAACCTATACCAGCATCCAGTTAGCCAACTATACCCCCCGAGAAAGCATTGCAAGGCCATCCTTACCCGAGCAGGTGTTGCTTCTTCTCAAGCATGGCGAGAGCTTCAGGGAATATCGACCTCACCGGGCATCGTCCCATCTGGATGGTGAGATTCTTGCCATACGCCTGATTTCCATTCCATGGGATCTAGGAATATCCAAGTTCGTTAGCAAGGGAGGGGCTCTCACAACGCAATTACAAAAGAAGATTGGGCTCACCTCAGCATTGTGAACGCCGACGCTGCTAATAACACCCCACGGCCGCAGAAGATCAAAGGCCATCTTGAGAGCCGGACTCAAGCCAACAACTTCGATCACAATATCAGCTCCACGCCCATCAGTCAGCTCCTTAACACGCTTCTCAAGACCCTCTCGGTCAGTTTGGAAGTTCCATGGCTCTGCTCCAAGGGACTTGGCAAGTTCAAGGCGTGAAGGCACCGAATCAACGGCCAGTAAGTGCTTAGGCTTGTATTCCTCGGCGTTGATAAGAGCACAGAGTCCCACGGGGCCACACCCCATCACAACCACAGTCAACTCGGGAATCTGCTCTTTTTTGAAGTGCTTGAAGCCGTTTTGGGCAGCAAAGAATCCCGTTGGGAAGATATCTGCCATTAGAACTAGGCAATGCTCATTGATGCCCTCTGGAGCTTTCATAACGGAACCGTCGGCTAGTGGCATACGTACCTAGGAGAAGTTAGTAGAATTGAGACTCGAGGTGTCATTCACATATATATGTCGTTGACAAACGTATTCAGCCTGGCCGCCGTCGAGGGCTGGACAGCCCAAGAGAAGACTCTTTACGCATCGAGATGAGAAACCGGATTTGCAGTAGAAGCAGTCTCCGCTATAGTCATACAATATGTCAGCACGAGCTATATTACGAGTAGAGAAATGTAGACGGCCCATACCATGATGCCGTGAAAGGACTGACAACTTTGTCCCCAACTTTCACAGTCTTAACGTCACTGCCGGCATCTACTACGGTGCCGGTGAATTCATGGCCCATGATGAAGTCAACTCCGGACGGCTGGTGGCCGCGGTATACATGAAGCTCGCTATGAGGTCTTAATTAGCATATCCGATTTTAGAGATAAGATAATGGCAAGGCATACCTCCCGCATAATGCAGTATATGTGACTTTGACGATAATATCTTGAGGGTCCTGGATCTTGGGAACAGGTCTCTTCTCGACGATGATCTGCCGTGGGCCTTTAAAGACTACGGCGTTCATGGTATCTTTCGTCGCCATTTTGCTGAACTAACAAAGAGAGTCGCCTGTTAATTATTTTTCTTAACGATAGACAGTTATTTAGCTGTATCCTTGGGCAATAAACTGTATATACGGAGTTCAGGCCGGCCTCTTGGTCCCACCGATAAAGAGGAGGTGGGGAGCTGAGTAGTTAGAAGGCCGAGGCGTCGTCCCTCGGCTGGAGCAAGATCGCAATGCTGGCCACCGAGGGACGGTTGAACGATAACTGCGTGTGCATGTACAGGTTTGATGAATGGAGTACCTGAGATAGTATATACTATATGAGCATTATGTAGTTGTTATAGGTGTCGATGTGAATGTAAGGGTGGTTTGATCAGCCAACTATACATGTGTGACTTTGATATTGTGGAGCCGCTCCATACATAACTAGATGCGGTCAACCAAGTCTAGAGCCTTTTGTAGGCTGAATGAGACTGATTTAAGAAGAGGATAAGTTTACTTTGGCAGTCAATTGGACAAACAAGAGTAAACGTATCGGGGTCGAGGAGGGTTTAGTAACAACCAAGGGTAAATTAGAAAAGAGTAATAGTTGGTTGACTCCGATAACTAGTGTAAGACGGAGGGGAGAATGCAGTATCGACAAACCAGTGCCAGGGAAAAAGGGAATGAAAAAGAAGAGAGGAAAGTGATAGACGCCGGAATCCCGATGGTGATAGATAAAAAAAGGAAGAAACCTCCAGTTCTCCTTTTAAAAAATAAAATGATTCGGCGCCTAAATCCCCCCAGTTCACCACCCAGAGCACGAACTCAAGTTGCATAAAAGAAGGAAAGAAGAAAGAGAGAAAGAGGGAGAGAGAGAGAAAGCACAAACACCGCACACCGCACACCGCACACCTTAGCACCCCCCATTAATACCCTGTTTGAAAACGCCATTCGTCGCAGCTGTGTAAGGAGGAATCTTTAAGGTCCTGAGATCCGGTTGTAAAGCATATTTTAAGTAAAATGACCGTTCCAGCAACATGTCGCGTTTTCGTGCCTTGCCGAGTAACTATCTTCTTCTTGTGCCAGTGGGAACGGCAGCCAGAGTCAAAGAAAGAGTTGCCGGAAATGAGATAAAAAGGAAACAAGGTGTTGGGCGGATAATAGAAAGAAGTCGAGAAGAAAGCTGAGTTAGGACAAGGCCTGCCGCCCAGAGAGGAGAGAAATAAGACTGCTCAGTAGACGACGGAGAGCAGTTCAGCTTCCAGAATGAACTTGCCCTCCTTGTACTTCTCTGACGTCTCGTAGGCCTTGTCGTACTTCCAGCCTACGGTCTCGTTGCACTGTGTGCAGTGGATGTCACGGACAACGTGTTTGCCTGTTGTCATGTTGCGTTCCTCAGACTCCGAGGCGTTGATGTTGACAACATTTTCAAACAGGTAGGCCTTGCCATGCTGTCCACGGAAATTCTATATTTCCTCTCGTCAGCCAAACAGTTGAACATGCGGGAGGGGGGAGGAGTGAGCGAGACAGCCTACCCGACTGATGATGTCATGATAATCTGCAAGATGAGTTTTGCAGTGCTTGCAGCCGAATATCTTATTCGAGTTGATGTAGATGTTATAAGAGAGCCCCATGATGCTTTCTTTTTTTTTTTTTTTGGACGAAGTACTAGTAAATGGTATATCTCAAGAAGGGCGGCAGGTTGTCGTGTCCCGGACAGGCGGACAGTTGTGCTCAGAATAAGTAGTTGGGTGTTTGCCTGGTGTTTTTGAGGGAGGCGCAGTTCGGTATTTAAGCAGCCAAACTCAAAGAAAGTCAGACACACCCAGACAAGACACCAGGCGCCTTGGGTAGTAAAGTGCTGTAAGTTAACTAATTAAGATAGTTTCGAGGGATAAGGGTTCGTTGCTCGGAGTCCGGCCTGGATGTCGGCACAAGAGGGTCCTCTCTAGAGACAGACAGGCAGGCAGGCTGGCAGCGGAAATGAACAGAGCCCGCCGTTCTCTTTAGCTCTCTTTTAGCTCTCTTGCTTTCTTTGCTCTTCCTCCTTCTTCCTCCCCCGGCGAGTGACTTGGGGAATATGTCGGGTGGTCGTTGGGTTCGTCTTTTGGCTGGCACGCTCGCTTCAGTTAAGGTTTACTGGGAGTTCACGCCCGTTGTAACCAGATATCAAACAACCACTCGCTTTCTTAGTGTGCTCTGCTAGAGTTGAGAAATGAAAAAAAAGGGAGCAGCAGACGGAAACCACCCCCCCCTTTTTATGAATGTTTCCGGGGGATCGTTGAATTTGCAATATCGCCCAAGGGGCCGAGAGGTGGAGACGGGTACGACGGGGAGGGAGAGCTGGCGAAGAGAGATATGCCGCCGGGCTAGACTCTCTCAGGGAGGGACAGGGGGCCGGGCGGAGAGGTTCGTGGAGCTCAAGATGCTTCGGTTTATGATCGTAGCAAGGGGCTGAGGACGATATATTGAGTCTGGATGCGTATCTGCCTGTTTATAGGGTTTTTGTTCGGCGGAAAGCTGGGTTGGTGAAGAGGAGAGAGAAAGGGAGAGACAGCAAGGCAAGACGGCTTAAAGGAGAAGGTTTGACGAGGTTGAAGCCGGAGCAGGATGGACGGCCTCGAGCGTGAGGATGTAATGTATGTATGCACCCCCCTAATGGACGGTGAATTTTGTCCGGACTGGCAAGCAAAAAAGAAAAGAAGACGCAGCAGAACGACGCAGAGACAGGAGCAGAGAGAGCAGGAGGAGCAGGAAAGTGAAGCTGGAGAAGACCAACCAACGGGGCAAAGGGAGAGAGTGAAGGGAAGCTCGGTGAAACTGCTCGGGGGGGTCACGCCTTTTGGATGCTGCCTTAGAGACGGTGACCTGACACGCTGCACCTGATGCTGTGGACAGTCGAAGCTGAGCCTGTCATCGCACGCCGTTCGCTCTCACGCTCGCTGTGTCTGTCTCTCTGCCTTCGAGAGTTCGTATTCGCAGGCGTTGGGAGAGCGGTTTCTTCGGGCCTCCTGCAATGACGACATAACTAGCTGGATTCCACATAACTAACGAGCTACATAGCTACCTAACTCACTAAGTTACCAGTACCAGGTTGACCGGCTCTATAGACCAGCAGTACCTACTTTGTATGACTACTCTATCTCCCTACAGCTACAACAGCTACAGCAGCTACAGCAGCCAGAGAGCAAGACTCCCCTCTGCCTCCTTCGTATCGCCCCCCATCCATGTCCCCGGCCGGCATGAACTGTTGTTCTCTGCTCTCTCGCTGCTGCCCGAGGCCAAGGCGGTTGGCCCTCTTATCGATAACTAACTAGTTAACTAACTAGTTGACTCGCCAGCCAGCAAGTAACGCCAGCCAGCAGCGCCAGCAAGCAAGTCACGAAAGTAAAGCAGGCAAAGCAAAGCATCCAAGCAAGCTAGTCGACTCCCTCCTGCAGCTCAGCCGGCAGATCCTGAAGCCCCCGTCGTTGCGTGTCTCATGGCAGGATTGAAACAAAGCAGAAACGAGATCCTCCTCCCCCAAGACCGCCGTCGATGGTCGGTTTCATCCCAAGCTGCGTGCTCCGTAAGTCACTCTAACACGTACAACAATAATAATCGTCTACTTGGGAGCTACCGAAGATCCAGCGTTGCGATCGTACCATCATACATCACTCGCCTGAGCCACTTACGCCGATGAGCCATTTTGAAACATCCCCCAAGGTCTCTTAGTGGCCTCGAAAAGCCGTGACGGCCCGAAACCCCGCTTCGATCATGCCTCCAGTGATAGGACGGTGGTCAGTAAAGGTGTCATATTATCATACATACATCAGACGACTGAACGGCACCGACGACGACTAGTCTTCTTCTGCTGGCGAACCGGCCGGCCCACGGATCGGTGCTGGTAGGCTCCCTTGGAACCCGGTCCTGACTAGTCTACACGCGGAGGACGGAGCTGACTGTTCATGCCAGCTGGGCGAGGCAAGACGGTTTCGTTCATTCTTCGATTTCCCGAGAAAAAAAGAAGGGCAAAAAAAAAGACGTTGCTTTCGTTCGTGGACATCCTTGCCGGCTCCTTCTCCTGAGCAAGGAGGATGCGTTCGACCCCCAGCCGGGCCTTGGCCTGCTTCAGTTTGATGCAGGGATTTGCATAGCGCGGTGGCAAGCCGAAAGGTGGTTGAATATTCTATTATTTTTATCTTTTTTTTTTTTTATCAGGAGATAAAATACCACCCATTCGTTATCGTTAGGATAATAAGAGTTTCGGAGAGCTGGAGGAAGAGAGCTCATCTTTGATCGAGCTTGGCGGCATTGGATTTCCAGAAGGCCTCGCAGTCCGCGTGTCCCCAGTGATCGAGCCACCACTCTCCAAAGCTATCGCTCACCCCATCGTCGACTCGGGCCACTCTCTCTTCTCTCTTCAGTCCGCAGAGGGCGCAGGCATGCGCGGATTTCAGCGCACCCTCGTCAGCAGTAGCAGTTCGTACTTGCGTGCTCAGCGACAGGGTTGGCATCGGGTTCTTCCCCCTTGATGTAACCACCGAGTTGAGCAGGCCACTGCACCTCTTCCACGCCTCGACCACCTCCACTGCCTCTTTTTCTTCCTTTACATTCTCTAATTTGTTGACACTGCTCAATTTCATGCCCCCGGATCGTCCAGACCTGGCGGGGCCTATTTTAGTGCTTTGGCTGAGTATTTGGTCTCGTTTCCACCGTAGATGGCGCCCGGACACGACGTGGGCCATGGTTCTGATCTCAGATACCAGCTGGTTGGCGAACTCACCATCAGGCAGCGGGCTGCTGCCGTCTCCCTTCCGCTTTGCATAACCTGCCGCTTTTCGTCTTGACTCTTCCAATAAAGGCGGGAAAAGCGGCAGGAGGATCGAGGGCGGTGGAATATTTGTAGGTCGAACCGACGAGGTGCTGGTTTCTGCCTTGCGTGTCACTGTTTTCCCCATATTCAAGCTGGTCCCAGGTGAGGCTGCTGTTACCTGAGCGCGCCCTGACGACGAGGTAGGGATTGGCTGTTGCTGTTGCTGCTGCTGGGCCTTAGTGCCAGCATCTTCGGCTCCGTCAATAAATTCACCCCAATCATCATCATCTTCTTCTTCTTTAATCTCAATTATTTCTTTGTTTTTGTTCTTCCCTGGAGGGGCAGCAACTAGCATCTCCTCGCCTGATGTCTGACCTATTTGATACCGGACCGGTCGATCACCCGTAGAATAACCTGTTGTAGTTCTTGCAGGATCATCGTCGATAGATAGCAGATCGATGACATTCTCCGGCTGAGGCTGAGAATTAGCAGTCTGATGGAAAGATGGCTTTCGAGATGTGGCAGAGTTCCCAAAGTTGCTGCTGTTGCTGATATCGATGACCTGGTGCTGTAGACCAAGAGATCCCTCCTGCTGAGCTATCGGCAACTGCTCTGCACTCTCAAACTCCCCCCACTCATCGTCGTCTGCATCTCCGTCGTTGCTACCCGGAGGTGGTTCCGTCGTGGCATCAAAGAGCACCTCGGCATCACTGCTCGCCCGCTCCAGCGCAGGTGGCTGCCAGGATTCAAATATCGAGGTCTGTGGCGCAGTAGCATCTCTTGGGTCGACATCCGTGTCTAACAAAGCACCGGGCTGTCCCTTGACCGGTCCGGTTGTCGACAAGTTGGCATCGTTCGAGGCGGTGGTGGGCTGTGATGAGGAATCAGGCTGTCCAAACGCCGCAAAGAGATCTGCTGACATCGTTTGGCGGTGGCCACTCCTTCTTCTCTGTCTTCCACTGTCAACCAGAGTCCAAGGCGCCTAGTATCCTTCTCCTCGGGACCTGCTTCCCCTACATCCCAAGCGTCAGCGTCCTCGCTGCGTCCTTGGATATCTTATCCAGCGTGGGGATGGTTAGTTGTTGTTCTAGGAGGCCAAGGGTGGTGTTCTTCAGGTAAAGCTTTAACTAAAAACAACATGCGCTAGTTAAAACTAAGCCCACCACTTGCCAATCAAAGTCTCCCCCCTAACTAGTTAACTGACTAGACTTCTCTGGTGAAGTTAACGCCCAACTTCGGTGCCCGTCGAGCCTTGGGACAGACCACCCGTACGGTTCACTCAGAGCAGACTTGACGATGGGGGGCTGAGGCTTCTCTCGATACATCTATTATACCCTGCTAGCTAGCTGTGCTGGAAGCTCAGGCTTGGTGACTCGTCCAGTCACTATTTTAAACCTCCGGACGGCGGCGTGACTTGAGACTACAAACACCCGCATCGCCAACTGGCCCGGCTCCAAAAGGATAAACCCAAGATATCTGATATAGACAGTGCCAGAGTCCCACGGACTCCTGTTAAATGCAATGAGATCTGTGGAGGAATCTCGGTTAGACCTGTACAACCCGGCACATCCTAGCTACGGCACCTTCTAACCGTCTCTTCACCAGGGCTCTATGGAATACCACCTTCCACCAGCCAGAGATACGCTCTCTCCATGAATTGAAACAGGTTTTAGAGACCGGGGATAAGGGATCTAATCCGTGTGAGGATGGATTGCGGTCAGTGTGCTGGAAGGTGTGTCTTTCTTTACCTCTGTCCTTCCGATATCAACTTGCCACTGAGCCCCCATGCTTACACCCTGTTAGGCATTCCTCCTGCACAAGGAGATAGATAGGACCCGATGGTCAATACAGCTATCAGACTCTAGAGAGGCATATACCTCGGTAAAGCAGCATTTTCTCAAATACATTGATAACCCGGATGAACTGTCATCTACAGTTGATCCGTTGGCAGAGGACGCTGAAGTATGTGCACCACAACGCAAGGCTATACAATTGTATAAACATCATACTAACAGTTACCCAAAGTCACCATGGGAATCACTTCGACGGGATGAACAGATCAGAGCCGAGATATCCCAGGATCTTGAAAGATGTCTCCAGGAAAACAGCTTCTTTCACGATCCGATAGTCAAACTCAGGCTTCTCAACATCCTGTTCGTATTTGTCAAACTGAACCCAGATCTGGGCTACAGGCAAGGAATGCATGAGCTGCTCGCTCCTATACTGTGGGTAGTAACGCAAGATGCTATTGATCTGCAAACCCTGAATGAGGACGTAGCCTTCGCTGCTGCTGGTGAACAGGCGTTGATGCTACAGTCCCTCGATCCAACATACATCGAGCATGACTCCTTTATCCTCTTCTGCGCTATTATGCAAACTGCTAAGGAGTTCTATGAACATAACGATAGCAAGAGTGGTGGAGGAGGGAGCTCGGAAGTATCGTCTATCATTGCGCGAAGCCAACATATTCATCTGGGCATACTGCGAAAGATAGACCCTGAACTGGCTGACCATCTTGTTGCTATTGAAGTCTTGCCGCAGATATTCTTGACGTGAGTTCTCATTCCATGTCAGAGCTAGAGTTAGAGCTAACTTTGTGTAGGCGATGGATAAGACTCTTGTTTGGCCGGGAGTTCCCCTTTGACGACGTGCTTGCCGTCTGGGACTTGGTTATTGCCGAGAACGTGAGGGCATCACTAATTGACATGATATGTGTTTCAATGTTACTACGTATTCGATGGCAGTGTAAGTATTGGTTATGGCTACATCAATTACACCAAGTGAGATGCTGATGGGCTGTAATAGTGATGGAAGCGGACTACTCGACTGCCTTGTCCCTTCTACTAAGATATCCGTCTCCAAAACCTATCAAACCACGTACTTTTGTTCTAGATGGTCTCTATCTAGAGCACAACACAACGTGTGAAGGTGCCTCTTACCTTGTTCATAAGTACTCCGGCAGAAATATTCCCCAGACGGTCCAAAACTGCGCGTCTCCTCCTCCTAGGTTCGGGATGTCTCTACCCAGTAGACAGAAGAGCAGATCCATTACTCGAGATATTTTCAATAGCCCGAGCAGTTCACCGAACAGGCTAACCGCGAAACGCCTTGACTCTATATTCCAGGATGTTTCGGAGGGCCTGTATCGTCGGGCAGAAGGCTGGGGCGTCACAAAAGCCGTACGTGGTGCGGTGACTGAAGCTCGCCGCAACATGCAGGGTCTTCAAGCAGGCGGGACGAACTCTGCATTATTTAGCCATGATGGCCCGGTATGGGATTCCCCCAGTCCACCTCGACTATCACTCGCTACAGTTAGAGAGTTGCAGCTGAGGGTGGCCACGATGGAGCAAAGGAATAAAGACTTGGCGATGATGTTAGAGGATGCACTGAATGTTTTGCATACCCAGCAGCCGGCCCCATCAGGAGCAGCTGAGGAGAAAGGCGCAGAGACAGAGGCCAGCCTATCGGCAATTAATGATGCCGTCGCTGCCATTCGAAAGGTGAAGACCTGTCTTGAAGATGCCTCGATTCCACTGGACTCTACCGGCACTGGAGGAGAAGTACATCCTCCATCCAACGCTCGGAGCAGCGACGATTCTCCGACCAGAGGAAGAGCCCAGACTGCCATAGCCCGTAACCCTGCGCGAGTAGAGTCGAGCGAGAAGGGCGAAGACAAGGCTACTATCGCTGCCGAGAACAAGACGAGCATGAAGGAGCCGCAGTCGCCGCAGTCGCCGCCAAGCAGCGTCACTACTGCAACCACCAACAGCAACAACACTCTGCCAGCAAAGATGGGAAATAACATCAAATACAATAATACGACAGCATCGATGACAATGCATCCGAGCCGACCAACACGAACCTCGGTCCGGGATTCATCCTTCGCTTGGATCCTGGGCGACGATCAAGCCCGGCCAAGCTTTGCAACGAGCGCATCCGCGCCTCCCGAGCAGAGACGAGTGCCCCTGAAATCTATCTTTGATGACCCTGAGGCCCAGAGTGACAGCCGGGCAGCTGCTGGAGATTTGCTCCTCTCTGATTTACAGCATGCACCGCAGTCGATGCAGCAGCGGCGGCGACAACAGTCCCCGGGTCAGTGAAGTGACGGTAACTAGGTAGCATAACTAAAGATCGACGTATAAGAAATATTCCAACAGCAACGTTTCCACCCGTGATATTTTCACGCTTCCAACGCCAACTCGTGTGACAGACACAAGTGAATGGATCATTTGATAGACAAGTACTCCGTAACTAACTTGCTCACGGGTTGACTGTCTCCTTTCCCCAGGCGAACTGCAACCTGCAGCCTTATCCGAAGGAGCTCCTTGTTGACCTCGGGCCCAACCAGGCTCGTGAACTAGCACCACGAGCCAGACACAGCTCGCTAACCAGCAAGCCACTTTCGCGAACCGACAACTACACAGCCTGGCCTCGCTGCGCTCTTGAAGGTGCCTTGAGCATCGAGTAACAGCTTGCTAGGCTCTCGACTTTCGAATTAATGCACAGAGTACGGAGTAGATTGGGATAGCACGATGGAGTCCCTGAAGAAAGCTGGGCTTTGGGGTAAGTCATATATCATGATATACGTAATATTTTGTTTATCATCTAACTAAGTAACTAACTGAATGATAGAGGGGACCTGGACGTATCGTACGACACGGACGATGATATTAAATAACTACCTAGTTATCAAGGCGGCGGGAAGTTCACCCAGCCTGACCTGCTATGCTTCTGTCCCTGGTTATTGCCTGTTGATACGTTTCCTGTCTACTCTTCCTTAATACCTAGCCTCATTTTACAACTACCTTACGGCATTAAGGATAACTATTAAATGTAAGAACTATATGGCTAAGAGTAAGAATGTTAGTAGTATTTTTTTTTAGATTCCTAAGTGTTGATTAACTAGTGGAATACGTTGGTTGGCCCGGCGTGCATAAATTTTTTTATTTTCAAGGCAGGCGATAATAAAATAATAGTCGATATAATAACTACATGTAACTGCCCTTAAACCCAAGAAGCAGCCTGAAGACATATCGCAGAAGGGAGAACGGAAAGATATCAGACTGCATCTTGGTCGTTCTTGGGCTGTCTACGGATTCCCTTAGCTCTCTCCCTCTGCCTCTCTCCCTGCCAGGCTGCCGTCCTCCGCCTAGCTGCCTGTTGCTGGGCTGGCCATCGCTCCCTTTCCTCCGCAAGCCTCGAGGGACGCCCAACTGCACGCCGCTCGCCCTTCCGTATAGTTATAAATCAGCAGGACGAGAAGCAGACAGAAGGCCGCTGCATCGCATCTGCTTCATCCTCTGCGGCTGCAACTGGTTGCCTGGATTGAGTCAGACAGCGCCGCCCCCCTTCAGCGGCCAACGGAACTCCGCCATCCCAATTCCTACACTATATATACATGACCAGGGCCCGTCAGTGACGTAAGGGACTAAGCAAGCATCACATCGACCACTCCTTCATCAGCTCCCACACTGGGGCCTTTTTTTTTTTTTTTGGGGTCACTTTCGTTTCTTATTTTAGCCTGTCTTTCGTGACCGCCGACCCTTGCTCTGCTATGCGACTCTAGGAACGCGAGGGACAGCGCAGGTTGTTTCATCTGGAGAAGACCGTCTGCCTCCGTAACCACCGAAAAGAAACACCGACAAGGACTAACGCCTGGGATCTCTTCTTGTATTCCCCTTTTTGTGTCATGTCAGAGACTGAGGGGATGGGCTATCAGAATGGTCAGTCAGTCACCTCGGTCACTCCAGTCCGGCGTAGGCGAAAGATATTGGTTGCAAGGGAAACGATCTTGTGGCACCCTCACAGCGACATCTAGCAACCTTCTTCATCTCTTGCGCCGCTTGTTTGTTTTTTTTATCATATTTATTTATAACTGACCTGGTCTGTATGAGCTAGGCGAGAGAGCAGGCATTCATAACGGCGATGGGCGTTTTGATTCCAGCCAGATGCACTCGCCTCACGATACCAGAACCTCGAACCGCGAAGGAGAGATGAGCGAGGACCCCAAATCCCTCTCCATAGACACTTCGTCTGTTGATTACGACTATCTCGCAAGGTCAGTCCTTCGTCCGTGGATACAGGCTATACTGCTTAGTTACCCTTCGCCGATGGAACCGCAGTTTCAAGTTAGCTGACAGCCTTGTGCGGTATCATGCACCCGGTGTAGATCTCCTCTGCTCGAACATGACCATGGGCTCAGCTCGTCTGGCCTGCCTCGCATACGACAATCTTCGAGAGCTCCTTCTCTCCCCTTTGCCTTGACATCTTCGTCTTCGATACAGCCGCCGTCCCAGTCACAGCAAAATCATAATAATAATCATAATAACAGCAAATCCACCATACCATCCACACACCCGTCCGACGGCACAATTTCGCCGGGTGTCGAGGACCTCTACCGATTTCCATCAGAGTCACTGCACTCCTATTCCTTTGCGAAACAATCGGACGACCTACTAAATAGTCGACAGAATCTCCTAAAGCGGTCTATCGACTTTCTCCGGGACCGAATTGGGCTGGCTGCAAACGACTCGGGTCAGATTGATGGCCCAGCCCAGATGAGCGATGAAAACGAGATACAGTGGATGATGGACATACTCTCCCGTTCGAACCTGCTGGGCAGTTATGATGCAGCTAACTACTCTGTGGGACCGGCTACGGGGCCGCCAGTTCCCGAAGGAGGAGGAAATATCTTCGACCGTGCCTTTGGAGCCTATCAAACATACAGTCCTGCAGACATGAGGTCCCCACAGGATAGGTTCAGTGGCAGGGAGCAGCAGCATTTGAGTCCAGTGACGTCGGAGCGAGCAACGCCTCGCGCGAGAGGCAGAAAGTCCGCTCCATCATCAAGACGAGTTAGTCTGAAGAGGACATATACAGATATCGGATCCCTGTCGCAGCACGGTAAGTCCATGGGTGCCATAACAGAGCCATACTCCGCCGTGGAATTCCATTCGAACCGGAGTACCTCGTCCTTTGGCTTTGGATGCATGACGCCCACCATGCACGTCCACAGCGGCAAATCATCGCTTCCTACGCAGGCTGTGTTTACCACCGAAACCAAGCCTAAGTGGACTATCCTTGCAGCCAACGACCTTGCGTGCCTCATATTTGGAGTTACCCAGAGTGAATTCAGGAAGATAAGCATTCTAGATTTGATTCAAAGAGAAAGAAGAGAGTGGCTGGCGTCGAAGCTTCAAGGTACACAGATCCCGACGCCAGAATCAGAATACCGCCATGAGGAATCACCTCGCAAGGCGGCTCCCGGTAAGCTATTCGGCCTGGGAAGCGGCGTTACTGCACAGTTACTGAGCAAACCACCGTCCCGAGTTACGCGAAAAGCAAACGCTCTGAATAGCTCCCCGTCTTCAAGCGCTACAAGTGATAGCGGCAACGGCAACGGCAACGGCAACAACGGAACCAAACAACCCAAGAACCCTAATCATTCATCCAAAAAATCGCGTGGAGTGCTACTTTGCGGCGAGGTTGTTCCTATCCAGAAGAGGAACGGCACAACGGGCTCAGCAAGTCTCTGGGTGATGGAGAAGAGAGGAGGGCTGATTTGGGTTGTCGAAGAAATCACTGAACACGCTGTTACCATGGAATTTGATGATAGAGGCAGGGTGACCAGCGTCAGCGGCGATACTGAACAAATATGGGACCGAATGGTTATTCAAAGGGGTTCTTCTATCTTCAAGCTCCTACCTAATGTGCCCGAGCGGTTTCCGACTGGCTGCGGAAAGCCTGACTTCTCTAAGATCAACGAACAAAGACACTTCACTGCATTTGGCGCCCGGGATGACAACAGCATCCCACTGACCTTGACGCCCGTCTCTGGATCTCATGCTTTCCGCATATCTTGCTTCCCACATATCGCTGGCATGATGGTTCTCTGTGCCAAAACTCTAAAGATCATCAGTGCCAACTCGGCGTTCACTGCTACTTTATTCGGCGACCCAAAAACAGAGGGTTCCCAGGTTACGGACCTGTTGCCACATTTTGATGAATTTCTCAGCATTCTGACTGAGCAGGACGACACTCCCCTTGTGGACGGTGTGGTTATTTCGGAACACGGATTCCGAAGGGCTCGAGCCTTATTCATGATGCGGCATAGTGAATCAAAATTGTCCATGACAGATCTGCGACCTGTGGGCCTGCCGGCGTGCCATAAAGATGGTTCCAAGCTCACGGTCGACGTACAGATGCGGGTGGTTAAAAGTAAATGTGCGCTACCTGAGAACAGCAAGCCTACTGCTGGATCCGACCAGAGCAGTTCGTCCGAGGGAGAGAACGGCAGCAATGCCGTGCGGTCTACGGAGGATGTGTTTGCACTATGGGTATCGTATTCTAGGCAGCTTCATTCACCTACGGAGGATGACATGCTCTGTTTACCCAACAAAGCGAGGAAAGTGTCTGAGGTTCCTCCTATCTCTCCAGGCCAGGTGTCTCCCGTTCTATCGGCTCAGAGAATACCACAGGTTGAGTCGCCGTCTGGGGAACCGTTATCCCAGTCATCTCTCTTGACTCAACAGTTGACAGAGGCTGCATCTGAGCCTCTTGTTCCACAGCCTCTGCAACGGGCAGCGGAAGCCAGGGTGGCCGTTCCTGCGAATGACGACGTCCCAACCAAGAAGAGCATATCCGACTACGTAATCCTGGAAGATATGGGAGAAGGCGCTTACGGACAGGTGAAACTGACCCGGTCCAGACGAGACCCGTCGAAAAAGGTTGTCCTCAAATACGTCACCAAGAACAGAATCCTGGTCGACACATGGACACGAGATAGGGTCCTAGGCACGGTGCCGCTGGAAATCCATGTTCTAAACTTCCTACGCCGCGAAGGCAACCGCCATCCGAACATTGTTGAGATGGAAGGTTTCTTTGAAGATGACGTCAACTACTATATTGAAATGGTACCGCATGGTCTTCCAGGCATGGATCTGTTTGATTATGTCGAGCTCCGTGCAAACATGGAGCAAGACGAATGCCGAAACATCTTCTACCAGGTCGCCAGTGCCATCGACCATCTACACAACAAGGCGTCTGTTGTCCACCGAGACATCAAGGATGAAAACGTCATTCTCGATGGCGAAGGCAGGAT